AGGTACCCGTAAGGGAATAGTTTGGGAACGATGTAGTGGGGGAGGATCCATACTAGCTTTAAGCAGAGGTATGAAAAAAGTTTCACGGCTCGGGGAGAGTGACCTAGTAGCGATCAGTGAAGAGGCGGGGCCAGGAGCTCGGACTCAAACCCCCGCAACCTCAACTAGGTTGAGTACAACTAGGGAGTACACATACACACACACACACACACATACACACACACACACACACACATACACACATACACACACACACACACACACACACACACACACACACACACACACACACACACACACACACACACACACACGCACCACACACACACATACACACATACACACACAACAAACACACACATACACAACCCCAACAACACAACAACACACACACACACACACACACACACACACACACACACACACACACACACACACACACACACACACACACACACACGCACTAAAGCTCTGGTCAAAGAGTCGAAGTACTTTTCTTGTAGTGTTGTTAATTAATTTGCTTCAGTGTTCCCTTGTAGTGTCTTAGTTGGGTTATCGTCCTTGTTACCATTCCTGCGGTAACTTGACCTTCTAATAAGCTGTACTAGGTGCTTATGTACTATGTAGTTCCTTGCTTTCCATTTGTCCATTCCTTCCATCTCCTTAAAACTGCTCTGGTTTTGATTAGCAATGTAACTCCTCCTCCCCCTCCATTCCCTCTATCCTCAGGCTCTAATATCTTGATCGAAAGATCGCATCTGTTATCTTCCCCATGAGCTGTGTTTCCACGAGATCTATGATGATTCTTTTGTACAATCCTCACATTTGTGTGTGTGTGTGTGTGTACCCATTTATTTGTACTCATTTATTTGTGGTTGCAGGGGTCGATTCACAGTTCCTGGCCTTGCCTCTTCACTGGCTGCTACTAAATCCCCCCTCTCCCTCCTCCATGAGCTTTATCGTATCTCTTCTTCAAGCTATGTATGGATCATGCCTCCACTACATCACTCTCCAGATTGTTCTACCTCCTGACAACTTTGTGACTGAAGAAATACTTCCTAGCATCACTGTGACTCATCTGAGTTTTCAATTTCCAGTTGTGATCCTAGATGAGTCACAGGGGAGTTAGGAAGTATTCCTTCAGTCAAAGAGGTAGGTGGGTGTGTATGTGTACTCACCTAGTTGTGGTTGCAGGGGTTGAGTCATAGCTCCTGGCCCCGCCTCTCCACTGATTGCTACTGGGTCCTCTCTCCCTACTCCCTGAGCTTTATCAAACCTCGTCTTAAAACTATGTATGGTTTCCGCCTCCACTACGTCACTTTCTAGGCTATTCCATTGCCTGACAACTCTATGACGGAAGAAATAATTCCTAACATCCCTTTGACTCATTTGAGACTTCAGCTTCCAAATGTGACCCATTGTTTCTGTGTCCCATATCTGGAATATCCTGTCTTTGTCCACCTTGTCTATTCCATGCAGTATTTTATATGTCGTTACCATGTCTCCCCTGACCCTCCTGTCCTCCAGTGTCGTCAGGCTAATTTCCTTTAACCTTCCTTCGTAAGACAATCCCCTTAGCTCTGAGACTAGTCTTGTTGCAAACCTTTGCACTTTCTCTAATTTCTTGACGTGCTTGACCATGTGTGGATTCCAAACTGGTGCTGCATACTCCAGTAAGGGCCTGACGTAAATGGTGTACAGAGTCTTGAATGATTTCTTACTGAGGTATCGGAATGCTGTCCATAGGTTTGCCATACGCCCATATGCTGCAGCAGTTATCTGATTGATGTGCGCCTCAGGAGATGTGCTCCGTATTATATTCACCCCAAGATCTTTTTCCTTGGGTGAAGTTTGCAGTCTTTGGCCACCTAGACTATACTGTGTCTGCGGTCTTCTTTGCCCTTCCCCGATCTTCATGACTTTGCATTTGGCAGGGTTAAATTCAAGGTGCCAGTTGCTGGACCAGTCTTGTAGCCTGTCCAGTTCTCTTTGTAGTCCTGCCTGATCCCCGACTGATTTGATTTTCCTCATTAACTTCACATCATCTGCAAACAGGGACACTTCTGAGTTTATCCCTTCTGTTATGTCATTCACACATACCAAAAACAGCACAGGTCCTAGGACTGACCCCTGTGGAACCCCGCTTGTCACAGGCACCCATTCTGACATCTTGTCACTTACCATGACTCGTTGTTGCCTCCCTGTCAGGTATTCTCTGATCATTTGCAGCGCCTTTCCTGTTATGCGTGCCTGATCCTCTAGCTTTTGCACTAATCTCTTGTGAGGAACTGTGTCGAAGGCCTTCTTGCACTCGAAGAAAATGCAGTCTATTCATCCCTCTCTCTCTTGTCTTACTTCTGTCACCTTGCCATAAAACTCCAGAAGGCTTGTGACACAGGATTTTCCTTCCCTGAAACTGTGCTGGTTGTCGATTATTCACTTATTTCTTTCCAGGTGCTCCACCACTCTCCTGATAATCTTCTCCATGACTTTACATACTATGCACGTTAGTGACACGGGTCTGTGGTTTAATGCTTCGTGTCTGTCTCCTTTTTAAAAATTGGGACTACATTTGCCATCTTCCATACCTCAGGGAGTTGCCCAGTTTCAATGGATGTGTTGAAGATCTTTGTTAGTGGTGTTTACCAGATTATTGGTCGTTCCTGCAGAGTGGGGAGTAATGATAACTCTTTGGAGGCTTCTTACTTTATTTGCGAAATCTGTGTACACAGGCGGTGTGTTTGTGCCAAGGCCCGGAGGGGCCATGCCCAGTGAGGGAGAGAGGAGTAGGCCTTGTTGACTGAGTGAAGGCCACTGAGAGAGTGGGAAAGAGGCAGGTCTGGGCATACTGAAGTGGCATAGGCCTATAGGTGGCAGCACAAACATGGTGCAAAATATGAACTCAGCTGGCAGACAGCATAGGCTGTCCATGCAGACCGTACAGGCTGTCTACACTTGCTTGACCATGCACCACCATGGTCGTCCCTGACCATGACTGGCTGTAAAAAAAAAACTTGGTCTCTCTCTCGCCGGAACAGGGTACAGAACACAAAATAAAAACATATATATACATACTTGGACATGGAAAAAAACTTCCTACAGGGAGGGAAGAAAAAACAGGTGGGGTGTGCTAAACATCGTGTTCATAGGCAGTGAGCGTCGATGGACATCACTGCATGCCTTCCTGGATCTGGACAGATACTGCAACACAGGAGACGTCACTGCAACTGAGCTGTGACAAAACAGGGTATGGTCTCCTCTGGAACGGTGAAGCAGTCATCGTAGGAGTCGCTGCAGGGTTTCACTCAACCTGGGACACAACCAGCTGGTCGCCTTGAGTGAGGCATCGTCAGTACTCGGCAACTGGGCAGGATTTCTTCTGGCAAGCGACTCAGGAGGACATTTCTCGACTGGGACTGTTGCTGGGGCTGTCACTGCTGGCGAGCGTGGAGTGAGTTGTGGCAGAGACAACATGGCAAAACATCTGGGAGTCGTAACATCATACACCGTACTGCAGTGAGCGGGCTAGCAGTCAAAGTGACATCATCTTTGTGCAGGCTGCTCACTGAAGCTATGACATGAGGCTGACACAGCGCCTGCCATCAGGGTCTAACTGTGGCTTGACGAGTGTCATTTTCTCGGCAGTTGGAGTTAAAGCAGAGGTTAGTCTAAGCATCCCCAGACTTGTTTCTCTACATATAACTGCACTCTGATGGTCTGGAGGTGAAGTGAAACAAAACTCGATGGGAATCATAGCAGGTATGATTCTGCAGGGCACCACGAGCAACAGGCATAAGAGCTTTTTGTACAAGAGGCTCAGACGCTCGGGGCTGACTAATATCAGCTGTCAAACGTGCTGGTCACACCGGGTGACAGGCAACACAGTGGTCTGGGCAAAGACCTGAGGTCCACATAGCTGGGCTCAAGACCACACAGGACACAAGGATAACTGCACACACCCACACTGCACATGCGGTACAACAGGGCTTACTAGCAAATGACGCTTTCTGTGCAAAAATCGACACTAAGCTATACATGAACATGTGAGAACACTGACTGAGAGGAATTAATTAACACATGACATATATCTTCTCTCAGTCTTCTCGACAACACAACATATTGCTCACTGTGAAGCTAACACTGTCGATCAGGTGTGACGTCGTGAGGTGATGTCATGGGGTGACATCGCAAGGTGACGTCGGCAGCATGGCGATGTCAGCAGACAGCGTGAGGTGATGTCAGCAGATGTGTCGAGGTGACGTCCTGGAGTCGGGCAGCATCGTCGGTGACATCATGAAGTCAGGCAGCATTGTGGGTGATGTCATAAGGTGACGTCAGTGGAGTGATGCAGTAGCAGACCACAGCATGTGGCCTGGGACGTCTGGCTTGGTAACCCACATGGCTTGTAGATCCATGTGGCATCGTCCACACCCCACATGGGCTCATGATCTATGTGGCTTGCTCCATGTGGCTTCGTGATCTACGTGGCTTGCTGATCTACATGGCTTGGTGATCCACGTAGCTTCAAGTGGTCTCGGGCACTCAGATACACAGCTCTGGCAATGAATTCACGCAGAAAACAGCAGAAAACACTGCAGAGGGAGTGAGTACGTAGTGGAGTGTGGTGGTAGGCGGTTAAGGTGTGAGTGAGGCGAGGAACCCGGCTGCTTCCTCTCCCACATACCTACTTGGAGAAACACCCTCACTGGATGCTGAAATCACCACAAACTCACCTTTAGTAGCTTGGTTTTTCCCATCCTATTCCTGCTACTCCCTCCACTTGTAGCTCAATTATGTAGTCAAAGCACAGAACCACATGATCACTAGCTCCTAGCCCTTAAACTGTCCAAATGTAGATCTACGTTCACATGTGTAGCACTCCGACCTTGATTTTCCCCATTTGAAAGCATGTAAAAAAAAAAAAAACATAGATCTACGTTCGGAGCCCCCCACACGTAGATGTAGATTTACATTTGGACAGTTTAAGGGTTAAGGGCCTTTCATACATGATATCCTCGATGTCTAAACTACTCAAGGTGAATACAAGGTCCAGTCTTGCTGGATCAACCTAACCTCTCTCTCTGGTAGCGTCTCTAACATGTTGATGCATAAGGTTTCCGGTACCACATCCATCATCTTGGCTCTCCATGTTTTGGGACCTTCATAGGGCTCCAGGTTTTCCTAGTCAATCTCTTTGTGATTAAAATCACCCATAACTGATCTCTTCTGGCCACCTCAGCAAGTGTGTCGACCACTGCTCTGTTGCTCTCATTGTATTCTTCTCTTGGCCTCCTGCAGTTCTGTGGCAGGTTGTACATTACTGCAATTACCATCTTATGGCCCTCAGACTGGATTGTTCCTACTAAGTAGTCCCTTTTGCCCATGCCATCCATTCCTTCCATTTTCTCAAATCCCCACTGGGTTTTAATGAGCAGTGCAACTCCTCCTCCCCCTCTCCTCCCTCTATCTTTTCCAAGGATTTGATATCCAGGGGAAAGATTGCATCTGTTATCATCCTGGTGAGGTTTTGTTTCTGTGAGTTCTATTATGTCTGGGAATGTCTCCTTGATTCTTTCATGACACTCCTCACACGTATTTGTTATTCCATCTGCATTTGTATACCACACCTTCAACTTCTTTTCTAAAGCTGTGGTCTGGGGGGTACGTTGGGGTTGGGGAAATGGGAGACCTGATAAGGAACTATGGGTGGTTGTTGTGGGGGTGGAGTTTGTAATGAGATGGGTGGGGGGATTGGATATAGCATGTGTGTTTTGGGTTAGAATGTTTGGATATATTGGGGTTGTCCTAGTTGGGGAGCTTCTGTCTGTGGTTGTGAGGGAGGCTGTATTTGATCTTCCTCCTGAGTCTGGGTTCTCCTGTCCATCTCCATTTCCATCTCTCTTTCCTCCTTTCATCTTTGTACCATCTCTCTCAGTTTCTGCCTTTCTTCTTGTGTTCTGTCATGGTCAAGATACACCTTCCGGTACACTGGCATGTCCATTAGTCTTGCAAGATCCTGTTCTGAGTTGATTCTGCTTTGAAAGTCACTTTTGCTGGCTGGGCTCTCCTTCTTGCAAACCCGCCTATTCTCCGAAAATTTGCCAGCTGGGTCATGTCATCTTCTCCTATTGTTTTTATGATGCTTTCGATCGCATTTTTCTCTACTTGTTTTTTGCTTCGTAAGTTTCCCCTTCAACTTCCTGGAACCCATAAACAAAGACTGACATCTCCCTTTCATTCTCCCACTGCATATCCCTATGTATCCACTGATTCAATTTAGGTTCCTCCATTGCAGCTTTTTTTTTCTTCAGTTTCTTCACTATCTATTGTCCTTGGGCCCAGTGGCCTGTCATTTTCCCTTCTCAGCTTTCCCTGGGTTCTGCTGTGATCTGTTAGGGCCTCCACATATAGCTTAGCTCTTTCATTTTCTACAGTCCCCTCGATTGCTCCCGATGTGATTCTCTCTTTTTCTCAGGCTCCACAATGGTCTGATAGGTCTTCTGCATGTAGTTTCACTCCTTCGTTCCCTACAGTCCCCTTGTTTGTGACTGAGGTAGCAGTCTCTGATGTCATACCCAAATTGTTCTTTAGTTCTTTAGGCTATTTCAGGTTTTTCAGTTCCTTTTCTAATCTCTGTAACCTAGCCTCTGCTGCTGTGGCTTGCATTTCCCACTTCTTGCTTTCTGCATCTATCCTCTCTTCCATTCTCATGCTAAGTTCTTCTAGCATCTTTCCCCATTCATGTTCCCTTTTCATGAGCTCTGCTGCCCAATCTTCTTTTGCAGATTCATCTTCAAGTCCCTTGGTTTTCCTTCCTCCTCTCTGGCAAGCGATTTTTTTTTGTTTTGGGTGCCACAGAATGAAAAACTTGTGCAATTCTGTGCGTTTGTTTTGTGGTGTGTTTGTCCGAGTGTAGGAGGGGTGGGGGAGGTAGAGGAGGAAGCTGTAGACAGTGGCTAAATGGGAGGGGTGGGGAGGGGGATTAAGGGGGAATGTGGGGAGTGAGGAGGAGGGAGAAGCAAAGGGGGAGAATGGGAGAGGGAGAGGGGGAAAGAGGGAGAGGTGGGGGAGAAGGAGGGTGAGAGAGAGAGGGGGGATCAGAGGAAGGAGTGGGAGATTGGTGGGGATGGTGCAGGGGGGGGGGAGAGTGTGTGTGAGTCTGTATGTGTGAGAATGTGTGGGTGTAAACGTTTTGTGTGTGTGTGTGTGTGTGTGTGTGTGTGTGTGTGTGTGTGTGCATACTTAACACCTCCACTTAGTCTCCTTCAATACAACATGCAGGTGTAGCTGTGCTTGACTTTGAGACATACTACCCCAGCCTGGATATGAGTTTACCCGAGTATCGCCAGGCGTCCAGAGAGTGGGTGGTTGACCACTACCCAGAACTTCCTCCCACCGAGGTAGACGAACTCGCCGAGGCCACCTTCAATGCCACCGCCAGAGACTTCTTTGAGGTGAGTGTAAGTTCAGGTGATAGGGCGGGGAGGTAGAACAATTAATAGCATAAGTAAAGAAGAATGCTGTAATAGGCTCAGCCAAATCACTTTTTCCAGCACTGATATGTCAGAGGTTACTGCTGCAGTGACCCACCACAGTGATAATGCTATAACAAAAAAGCTGTAGGCTTGCTGGCCTATACTGGATAGGTCCAACACACACCCAATCATTAACACTCTTGCAATAACTTCAGTGGCCTTATTTGGCAGTTTTTCCACTATTCCTTTAGAATTTATACTGAATAATGAATTTCTTATCTGACAATCATTCTAAAAAAAAAAAAATGCTCTAGACTGTGAAATTACGGTGTATTTCTTCTGATGCTGCTACAGATGACGTAAATATTTTTAATCCTTGTCTCACATCTGGAATCTTGCATGGTAACACCATACAGTCTGTCTTGCCCAGATGGTGATGCTGTGCAGCATCTGGGAAGCCAGAAGGCGAAACCTCAGAAAGAACGAGAGTCGAGCTTCTTTTAGTTCACGTTGACACACACCTTAACCAGATGAAGACTCTTGATATGAAGCGAATGTTCACTACCTTGAGCAACACTACAAGTTTATCCCCAGTGTTGTGCTCACTGACGGAGTCTTTCATCAGACGCTCATAAGAATTCTTACACTGCTCCAGGACTAGTCTATATTTAACATTTTGCCTTGGTTGAGTTTATCAAGTTCCGGTTCTTACTACCATCAAAACATCATCCAGACAATTCTTCTCCCATTTAGATGAGCATATACACTATAACCATCCTGCCAATATTCATAGAAGGGCCTCGTTTGATATTAAGACTTAAGATTATTTTCTTCTGTCAGACGACTTATATTTACATTTTATGATATATACAATAATAAATATTCTCACAGAGTTTTTTAACTGTGCTAGTTAACAGATGGGAAAGTTAGCAGTCAATCATGTGGGTCTACACTAGGCTGTGAATCTTCCTGTTACACGGAAGGTGGCCTGGTGGCTAAAGCTCCCGCTTCACACACGGAGGGCCCGGGTTCGATTCCCGGCGGGTGGAAACATTTCGACACGTTTCCTTACACCTGTTGTCCTGTTCACCTAGCAGCAAATAGGTACCTGGGTGTTAGTCGACTGGTGTGGGTCGCATCCTGGGGGACAAGATTAAGGACCCCAATGGAAATAAGTTAGACAGTCCTCGATGACGCACTGACTTTCTTGGGTTATCCTGGGTGGCTAACCCTCCGGGGTTAAAAATCCGAACGAAATCTTATCTTATCTTATCTAGTGTATGTGGCAGGTGCTGTTGTGGCAGGGTCGTCAGCTACGTCCTGGGGCACTCTGGGGTTACTACCACTACCCGTACTGCCACAATTACAACCCTGGGACCGCCAACTGCAAGTCAACGGTGAGTACCCATTACGACTCCTTGGTTCTCACCTCGTGTACTGGTAACCCCAGTGGGTGTACACATGAATGTTCCTGGGTTTTTGTTTTGGGCAGGGTGAGACGCATGGATACTTCTTACACATGCTGCCCATGTCCGCTTAACGGTAAGATTGCATACTGGTGTTAGTAAGCTGCTGCGGATCTCATTCACCCTGGAAATATGTCCAATGCTAGTACAAACAAATAGTTTGTAGGTACAAGACACGTAAGTGTTGATTAAGATATTTCCTTAATTATTTTTTACTATTAACACGTCGGCCATTTCCCACCAAGGCAGGGTGGCCCGTAAAAGAAAAACTTCACCATTCACTTCATCGCTGTCTTGCCAGAGGCGTACACTACAATTATAAAACTGCAACATTAACACCCCTCCATCAGAGTGCAGACACTGTACTTTCCATCTCCAGGACTCAAGTCCGGCCTACAGGTTTCTCTGAATCCCTTCATAAATGTTACCTTGTTTACACTCCAACAGCACGTCAAGTCCTAAAAAACCGTTTATCTCCAATCACTCCTATCTAACACGCTCATGCATCCTTGCTAGAAGTCCAAGCCCCTCACACGCAAAACCTCCTTTACCCCCTCCCTCCAACCTTTCCTTGGCCAACCCCTACCCCACCTTCCCTCCACTACAGATTTATACACTCTCGAAGTCATTCTATATTATTCCTTCCTCTCTACATGTCCAAACCACCTCACCAACCCCTCCTCAGCCCTCTGGATAATAGTTTTGGTAATCCCACACCTCCTCCTAATTTCCAAACTACGAATTCTCTGCATTATATTCACACCACACATTGCCCTGAGACGTGACATCTCCACTGCCTCCAACCTTGTTGTTGTTGCAATATTCATGTAGCAGAGCGTTGGTATAACTATACTCTCATGCATTCCCCTCTTTGCTTTCATGGACAAAGTTGTCTCCACAGACTCCTAAGTGCACCACTCACCTTTTTCCTCTCATCAATTTTATGATTCACCTCATATTTCATAGACCCATCTGCTGACACGTCCACTCCTAAATATCTGAATACATTCACCTCTATCGTGGGGGTTCGTGAGGAGATACTGGAGTAAGAAATACACACGTTGGATGTCGTGGAAGCGTATAATTCAGAGAGTCTTGAGGAGAAGCCCAGGAGCCTGCCTGTCTTGTTTATGCCTATTGAGTGGACCATGAATGACTGAGACCGAATGCTGTGGTCTTCGGCTCACATGAGGATCTCGTGACGTCACAGCTAGCAAGGGAGCCTATCTATAAAGTAGCTGGGATTATCTAAGTATACTACACAGTACACACTAACACTACTGACACCTCCTCCATACTACCTTCCTCCAGTTCCTCCTTAATATTTGTTTTTAATCAGTGCATTCGTGTCTTTTACCTACAAATATGTAAACAGACAATTACACACAACACGTGTGTAATATCAACATTTCCTTATTTGTTATAAAACGCAGCAGATTTTTATCCGCAGAGCGAGTGTGCTGGGCAGCGCCACTCTCCCTCTGCAAGTGGACATAAAGTTACTCTTACAACCAAATTTATAGACCTTATATTAGCGATATCAACTCCATCTTTGGTTAAAACAGTTGTGACAGAGGTATAAATATAGCCACTTACCACAAGAATAGGTGGACTCTGATATAAGGCACACATGAGAGGCAACGCTCAGTTAACGCCACGCTACATCAATTTTTTTTTTTAGAACTAAGATACAGCTGAATACCACACTGAAGCAGCCTCTCTTCCCTTTTCCTCTGGGCCTCTCTCACAGGTGATGGAGCACAATAACGAGATGCTGTGGCTTATCCAGATGAGCTCAGCTCTATATCCCAGCATCTACATCTTCAAGGACAGCGGTTGGGACCCCGCTACTCGTCGTCTCAACGCTCAAGGACGCCTCGGTGAAGCCATCCGTATGAGAGAACGAGCTGGGGTCAACATCCCCATCCTTCCCTACTTCTGGTACAGGTGTGTACTCACCTTATTGTACTCATCCTGTTGTACTCCCCGAGATGTGTTTGCTGTGGTGGTCTCAGCTCATGACTTCCTACTTAACCTTTTATAAGCCGTCATTGTCTCCTGGACTCTTGGACCTCAGAATATTTTTGAGACTGTATATGGAATTTGCCTTCATCACTTCCACATCCAGCTCAGTTCACGTTCTCTTCTCCATGAGATTGAAAAAGTACAATATTTATTAAAGTTTTATGACTCAACAGTATCTACATTTCTTGTATGTCCTCTTGCCCTTGTGCTTATTTCACTTTGATCCATACGCTCTTTCAAATCCTCTGAAAATATTGTATTTCATAATTCTGTTTCCCTTAGGTTGAATTACCGTCAGGTTAAATTTCTTAATTTTAAAAAGGTTCTTTGTTCCGGTCTTTAAAGTCAATACTAGTATTCATTTGCCCTGTAAATCTGGTATATAGTTACTCTAACTATTTCCATTAGCGCGCTGGACAGAATCAGGAGCAATGTAGTGAGGTGATGATGTTTCTCCCTCAGGTACCACGACTCTGAGAGTTACTTGTCCCCCTTGGACGTAGTCAACACCCTGGGCTACACTAAGGTGCTGGGACTGGAGGGAGCCGTTGTCTGGGGTTCCAGCGAAGATGTTGCCACCAAGGAACAGTGTCTGTCTCTCAAGGTAACTAACCAGACCTACCCATCTATGTGTGACTCTTCATGAATACAGCTTTGCTCTAGTTGCATTAATATGGCACACACGAACCCACTGCAGACAATAAAACAGATGCACCTCAACCTTTCACTAAGGCCCTCCTGAACACCAGTGTGAAGCCGAGATATACAGTAGCCATCTTCTGTTTTCTTGTTGTCATGTGGGTTCTGGTGTGCCATTTTGCAGGTGTTGGGTGCAATAATATAGTTATAAACATGCACGCCTCACCTCCATCCTCCCACACCACATCCTCACAAGCCTCACTGTTTCTGACTAACATTCCTACGTCTCTTCTACTCTCCCTCAGGAGTACGTTGAGGGTCAACTGGGTCCTTTGGTGCAGTACCTGGAGAATCTCCCCCAGGTCACTCTTCGCTATGTCATCAATTCTAAGAAACTACTCAAGAGAGTGGCCAAGAAGGCTCTCAAAGCAGCCAAGAGACGATCATCATCAGTCACAAAGCTGTAGTTCTCTAGTGATATACTTTTGTACGTGGAGGGACTGACACACTCACTGGCTCCTTGATTGAACTACTTTACATAACAGTGTCAGTGACAGAATTAATAGTTAGTTCCACTCTTGAAAAATCTTCCAGTTGTTCCTACAATAATGTTCACTATCACCTTTAACAAAGTTAGTGTTTCATATCACGTCACAGTGTCCCATGTCACAGCTTAAACCTTGCGCTTTTAAATAATTAAAATAATTGTATTTCCCTTCAAATACACTGTATATTATACAGAAACAATCTCTAGTTAACACAGAATCGTTTAGTTAATACACAAGACAGAGGCTCCGTACATCTTCAATATTAAGCAATCTTGAGAATTTCTGAATGTCAAGAACTGACCCCGCAACCGTGCCATAGTCGAGATAAATACAACACAAATAATGAAATAGCAGATTAAATGACTGACAAAAGTTACCCCTGGCATGACATGGACTTAGTTAATCCGGTTTAGATTTATGTGATGTGGATTTACGTAATTAGATTGCATTTGACTGGGATATATTTAACTACCGCTTATTTAAATGAGACTTTCTCTGCTGGAATTTTGGTCAACACAGGGATGTATTTTTGTGAATAATTCTGGTGACGATATACTGGCTACTGTGAGGGGAAGTATTGTTATTATTGTTGTTATGCTTTTACAAGAGATGTTGAACTTACTGTTCTCTCTGCGATGATATTGTTTTATAACCTTCTGTGTCATTATTTCACACAAACACACAGACAGACAGACAGACACACACACACACACACACACACACACACACACACACACACACACACACACACACACACACACACACACACACACACACACACACACACACACACACCTGCAACCACAATTAGGTGAGTAAACACACACACACACACACACACACACACACACACACACACACACACACACCACACACACACACACACACACACACACACACCTGCAACCACAATTAGGTGAGTAAAACACACACACACACAACACACACTACACACACACACACACACAACAACACCACACACACCCCAACACAATAAAACCAAACAACCAAACACACACACACACTGCAACCACAATTAGGTGAGTAAACACACACACACACACACACGACACCCAACACAAAAGTCACACACACACACACCTACAACACAATTAGGTGAGTAACACACACACACAACAACACACACACACACAAAACCCTGCAACCACAATTAGGTGAGTCACACACAAACACACAACACCCTGCAACCACAATTAGGTGAGTAACCACAACACTGACATTGATACACACACACACACACAACCTGCAACCACAATAGGTGAGTACACACACACACACACACACAACCACCTGCAAACCACATTAGGGAGACACACACACACACCCCTGCAACCACAATTAGGTGAGTACACACAACACACACACACACACACACACACACACCCCTGCAACCACAATTAGGTGAGTACACACACACACACACACACACACACTGGCTCCTTGAATTTAACCCTGCCAAATGCAAAGTCATGAAGATTGGTGAAGGGCAATAGAAGACGCAGACACAGTATATTTTTAGATGGCCAAAGACTGCAAACCTCACTCAAGGAAAAGATCTGGGGGTGAGTATAACACCGAGCATATCTCCTGAGGCGCACATCAATCAGATAACTGCTGCAGCATACGGGCGCCTGGCAAACCTACGGATAGCGTTCCGATACCTCAGTAAGGATTCGTTTAAGACTCTGTATACCATCTACGTCAGGCCCATACTGGAGTATGCAGCACCAGTTTGGAATCACACTAGTCAAGCACGTCAAGAATTGAGAAAGTGCAAAGGTTTGCAACAAGGACTAGTCCCTGACGCTACGGATGTCCTACAAAGAAAGGTCTGAGGGAAATCGGCCTGACGACATAGGAGGACAGGAGGGTCAGGGGGACATGATAACGGACATGTTCCAGAGATGGGACACAGACACAAGAGGTCACAATTGGAAGTTGAAGACTCAGATGAATCAAAGGGATGTTAGGAAGTATTTCTTCAGTCATAGAGTAGTCAGGCCATGGAATAGCCTAGAAAGTGATGTAGTGGAGGCAGGAACCATACATAGTTTTAAGGCGAGGTATGATAGAGCTCATGGGGCAGGGAGAGAGAGGACCTAGTAGCAATCAGCGAAGAGGCGGGGCCAGGAGCTATGACTCGACCCCTGCAACCACAAATAGGTGAGTACAAATAGGTGAGTACACACACCCCTGCAACCACAATTAGGTGAGTACACACACACCACACACACACACACCCCTGCAACCACAATTAGGTGAGTGCACACACACACAAACACACACATACACACACACACACACACACACACACACACACACACATGCACACACACACACACACACACACACACACACACACACACACACACACACACACACACACACACACACACACACACACACGTGGGTCCGTGGGGTGCAGATGTGGGTAACAAGGCTCCGAGATCCTTAGCGTTGTAAGGCGTGCAATAACAGCTAGCAGTAATCAGTGGTAGTGGAACGTCAGTGAACAATACTACGAGTGACAATTAAAGTTATTAGTTAAAGAAAGTGAGAGGAAAGCTGAAATCATAATATTTCAAAGCGCAAACCGTTGGGGGTCTTAGGAGCTGTTGCCACATTGGCAGCGGTAGGCCTGAAGAAGTGACGTCATGACAAGTTGTGTGCCATTATACATATAAAGTGAAGTGTATATAATGTGAAGTGTATACTATCATCAGTGAAGAGTGAAATCGCGTGAGGAAGCGGGATGTATGAGAATATACGGTTATAAACATCACGGGTGAAGGATCTCCAAAATAGGGATTTAAGGTCTACGTACGACGACTTCGTCATCAGCAGCTGGCAACCTGTCACCGCACCATTGAGCGCAAGTTATTCGCCTATTTGTGGTTTGCATGTTGACGGCCCTGGCTGGCCTTGCATACTGTTTGATACTGGTCACTCACTCCTGCAAGCTATTACCAGAATTAGAATAGAAATAGCATAGACATAGAGAATATAGTGTTGACGAGTGTGAGAAGGTAGGTGGGACAAGCTTTTAAGGGCAACATTGTAAGACGTGCTAGGGTCAAGTCCCAGGAGGGTTGTGTCAGGTCACAAGAAGTTGTGGCCAGTCATTACACCACACAAGACACTCTCACACACACACACACACTCACACACACACACACATGCACACACACACACAGGCAGTTATTAGCAGTAAGAATACTTAGGAAGCTAGGAAGTGCTCTCTCAATGTGAACAAGGAAAATGATAATAACCAGCAACAATTAATAGGTAAATCCAGAAAGGGCAATAAGTGGAGAGAGTAGCATAATTGGGAAAGATAAATGAGACTAAATTTGTGCCTACACGACGGATCTTTCAACCACACCACCTCCCCCCCTAACCCTCCCTCCCTCACACACAAGCACACACACACAAGGTAGACACTCCCCCCCACACACACACACCCCACACACAAAACCCCCACACACACACACACACACACCCCACACACACAGAGTTGTTTAAAGGGAGTGGAATGCCTAGAAAATGACGTAGTGGGCGGAGGAACCATACACAGTTTTAAGACGAGGTTTTGATAAAGCTCATGGAGCGGGGAAGAGAGGGCCCATGTAGCAACCGGTGAAGAGGCGGGGGCCAGGGGCTAAGAACTCGACCCCCCTGCAACCACAAATAGGTGAGTCAAATAGGTGAGTACACACATACTCACACATCCCCACACACATACACACACACATACACACACACATACATTAACACATAACACACACACACACAACACACACACACCCACACCAACACAACACATATATATATATACCCCACACACCCACACACACACACCACACACACACACCACACACACACACACCAACACACAACACCACACACACACACACCACACATACACACACCACACACACACACACACACCACACTACACACCCCCCACACACACACACACCACACACACACCACACACACACCACACACACACACCCCACACACACACACCAAAACCACACCACACACACACCCACACCCACACCACACACACACACCACACACACGCCCACCACACACACACACCAACACACACACCACACCACACACCACAAAACACACCACACACACACACACACACACACACACACACACACACACAAACACAACACAACCCACTACACACACACCCCACCACCCCACACACACCCTCCACCAATTGACACAAACATGTATCCCCCCTCCCCTAACCACCTCTCCCCCCCCCCTAAACCACCTCAAAGTTAGCCACCTACCCCTCCCTAAAACCACCTAACCCCTCCCAAAAAACCGCCTAACTTCTCACCAACACCTCCCCTCCCTCCAATAACCATCCTCCCCCTCCCCCATAACCACCATCCATCCCCTCTCTCCCTGTCAAACAATCTAACCCCCTCCCCCAACTATCTCTACCCCACTCCAATAACCTTCCTCTCCCCTCCCCACAACCATCCATTCCCCTCCCTCCTAACCATTTATTCCCCTCTCCCTAACCACCCGTCCCCCCTACAGTGGAGCAACGGGGGAACCTAGAAACCAGGATGAGGACAAGGGGCTCCAAGGACGATATCTTGGAGGGAGGAAAGGAGGTAGAGCTCAAAAAAAGGGAGGAAGACTGGGGAAGGAGACTAGAGAGCGGAAAGGAAGAAGGAAAGAGAGGTTAGCAGCAGACTGCAGAAAGGTGGCAGCAACAGGCCACAGCAGCAAAAATCAAATAGAGAGATTAGAAGAGGAGCTGAGACATCTGAAACAACACAGAGACAAGATATTACAGAATAGCATCGGCAATGCTACATCAAACACAGACAACAGGTCTGAAGGAAAATGGAACTAAACTGTATGCAAGGTCCCTGTCAACCCAAATGGGGCCAAAACAATGACAGGAGCCACACTAGACAGAATGAGTTGGTTGGAAGACCAGTGAAGGAACTAGGACATGTGCAGGGGACCGCTTACCAGATCCTGTGGGGGCCGCAGGAACAGGTGAAGCAGGAAGGACAAACCAAGAGCATAGGGGCCATAACTAGGAAAGGGACTGAAGGAAGAACACACCAGGGACAGGAACTAAAACACCTCTGAGGATTGCAATGGGATGTCACAGTGGGCGTGGAAAGGGAGAGATCCGGGTTTGTCTATGGGCGATACGAAGCTATAGGGAAACTATAGATGAAAGACAAGCAGGAGGAAAAAAAGTGATTGAAGATTTCATGAAGGTGATAGCGCGGGGGACATGACCCAGGTGGCAAATTTTCGGAGAATTGGAGGTTCACAAAGAAAAGGAATCGGCTCTCAAAGTATTTTCAAGGCAGAATCAACCGAACCATGATCCAGCAGAAGAAAGCCGGCTGAGGAGGCAAGCAAGAGTTTCCGGAGGGTGTACCTCGATCGAGACAGAAACAGGAGAACGGAGAGGATGAAAAAGAGAGAGTTCAAGAAACGAAGGAGAAATGGGAGAAAATGAAAAAGGAGAGCAGAATAACCCAGGATCAAATGGGAAGGACAAGCGCACCCCCCAGAACACCTGCAGAAGGACCCCCAGCCGCACGACACCCCCAAGG